CTCATTTCTCTTACTCATATTGATGTCGCGAGTAAAATTTATCCATTTATAAACGCCCATTGTCTTGAGAGAATAGATTGATAAAGTCTGACTTTTATAACCTGATCAGTCTTATCTCTTCTCGACATTTAATGTGATAGATAATTTTTCTTTTCTCATTGCATCGAAAACAACACCAACTGTCGCATGAGCATCCTATCCGGATCGAGTAAATGCGTGTTCACTCTTCAGTACTATCGATGTCATGTTAGTTCTGGCGAGATCGTTCCATCTGGTTAGAGGTGTTCTTGGCAGCCGCCGGTCATCAGGCTTTACGTTGACTACCCGCTTCGAAATGTGCAATTGTCCATTTGAAGGCAGTGGTATCACTGTATTAAACGATTTATTTTATCCAGTAGGATATTAGGTATTAGATATTCTGTTGTTTCCCTTGCAATAAAATTTGACATTCGATCATACCACTTCACTCCTAATATTGATCTTATAATAATTTCGTCGCATCCAGTTTTCTGTTTTCAGCTTTGTTAAGAGTTCCGTGTGCAAGCCATGGAGAAGGATGTACAGAAGGCAGGTTTCTGTTCATAATGGGCTTCAATAGCCTGTTGCTCATGTTAGCTCACAGCGCCTACTAACCTCGCTTTTCACTCGTTTTTCTGCAGTCAGTGTACTCCAGAGATACAGATGTTCTTGTACCGTTCTAAAGCTTCGCTATCAAAGGTCAAAATCGTTTGTCTGCTTTGTGCTAATTTTCGTCCATTTCGTCTTCGTTAAATTATTTAGGAGACCCAGATCATAATTCCACTGTTTTGGCGATCATTTTGAAGTTTCTCGTATTTGAAATGCGTTTTAAACTGTGAATATTTAGGCTCAAAATAAATATTGGGGTTTGAAAAAGGATCTATAAAGACGGAAGGAAAATTGAATAGATCATTGGACAAAATAATAAGTTTATTGTTAGTTCATCTGTTGGGGAGGCCTGTGAAAGTTCATCAGTGCCAGTTACGAGATGTTTCACGATGTCAAATTGATTCCAGTCTTTATTTCAACCATCTGTTGGTCGACGATATGTTGGCAAGCGGTTGAAGTGCTCATCGATTCATCCTCAGCGTTTAGTTTT